AAAAGAAGAGGTCAAATAGAGTGGTGAGGATAAAGAAGAGGAGAGGTGTTGAAGGAGAGGAGGGGAAGGGGATCAGTACTGCATGGAGAGACGTTTCTTGGGGGGGGAAAAAATATATGAGTGAGGGGATGCATACATATAGAGAGTATCTGTGTTTTGAGCTGCTGTAGGGTAATCCAGAGTTTTCCATATGTGGAGGATTTCAGAAATAGTTGTGTTTGGCTCTTACGAATTCAGCTCAACTTGATACACTTTTCTACCCAGCACTTTTTCTTTCCTATTTAATATTAATACATGCCCCCATGTATATGCTTCCCTCGTTTGTTCTGCTGCCGTTTTATTAAACCTTAAATTCAAGAATTTTTAAAAATTTAAAGCTTAAGAAATGTGCTGCAAATTAGTGTGGTAGCAAAGTGGTGCAGCTTACAAATCATTTCTAGATTAATTTGAAAGTTAAAACAAAGATTTGTGATTTGGGGAAAATAAAACATCACAGGTGTTTTCTGCTTTTGGAGATAAGAGCCAGCACTTCTGTTTGTTTTTCTCCTCCACCAGCGCCGGGCGAAACAACAAATTGGTCGAAGCTAATTTCTTGCGGCACTTTGTATAAATGATGGTTATACCTGCGTGCCGAACGACGGGTCATTTTTACTCATGAGAAGACACGTTTCCTTAATCAATCATGATCTAACGGCATTACTGCAGCTAAGCTGGAAGGTTCTGCGGCTCAGATTTTCTATCACCTCCAGGCTACAGTATATAAACATCCTGTGTACCCCCACAAAGCCTCAAGATGTGGCACTTCTGCTCGGCCTCCAACCGTGGAAACGTGCCAGCGGTGATTAAGAGTGAGAAAACAAGAGGTTTCTGCACAGCTCAGCTTATGGCACGCCGCTAAAAATCAATAACGCTGCTTCCATTAATTGTATGTAGTCTTCCACTAATCGCGATTGGGTCTTTACGGTAATGCGTACAGCGAGAGCCGGCGCTGTCGAGGCCCGTTTACCTGTCGCAAACGATGCTCACGAGGGCTGACGCTGGAGTGTGCAGCTCTTGAGGCAAAAGAGTTCTTGTGTTTTGAGGGTCAGAGCTGCAGGATGCTGGCAGATCTGGTGCAGTTTCCGTGCCCCCGAAACAGGACACATCAGCCTCCGTGTAGAACATCCTTACAAATCTCGCCGCCAAGGGAGAACCTCCCCGGAGCTCAGAGGGGTTGCTCATAGGATCGCCGCAACACATTTCCACTACAATAAGGTGTCGAACATCAAAATGGTGCAGCACAAAGGCAGTGCATCGCTAACAGGGGAAAATGAGAGCAAAAAAAAAAAAAAGAATGGGGTGAGGGGAGCGAGAGGAGATGGTGTGGACATGTCTGTTATTGAAGCTTGGGCTTGCTCAAAGCTCAACCTAATAAGCAGAGGACAGCTGAGCAGAGAGAAAGAGGCTGCCAGATCTGGTCTCCTAGGATAGGTTCTGTGTCAGTACTGGCCCAAATTAAGAGGGAGTGCAGAGGAAACTGGGCCTCGACAAGGGCTGGAACTCCTACTGGCTCCCATTCAGTATGGAAGATTGCACCACTCACCCTGCAGCACTTACCCACAATACTGCTGTCCATCTGTTGATTCACTTATCAAGAAGCTGTGTTGTGTTGTGTGTGTGTGTGTGTGGTTGTATGTCTGCATCCGGTGTGTGTGGCTGCTTCTGTGTGTGTGTGTGTGTGTGTGAGTGACTGAGAATGGATGCTTATACCTTGGAAGAGGTGTCTGTACCAGGACAGATAGGGGAGGGAATAGAATTAAAAAGGATGAGGCAAATCCCACCAGTGACTAGATCTTCTCATTCACACCGCAATTGTGCTCAGGAGCCAAATACGTGAGAAGCTGGTGCTGCCGGCCTCTCGGCATCGGAAAAAAGGTTTGCGCATACGTTTCTCTGCAGACGAAGACGAATTCTCCTGGGCAGAAAGAGAAAACAAACAGTTATTATGGTGTTTGTGATTGCATCTCCTGCTTGATTAGGATGGAAGCACAAAATACAAACCCGTCATGCTGGTGATTGATTGTTTTCAGTTCAAAGTATAGTAACTTAGAGCAGCGTTTAAACGGTATACCTCTGTAGGACTTAAACCCTCCATTCAATCAGGAACAAACATTCGACGTAGCCATTACACACAAAGAAGCGGAGCCTTTCCTCCACGTCGTGCAGCACAGGAATATTGTGTTTACTCGTATAAAGTGTTTACGGATGTTAAGAATGCTTGATTACCCACCGGGGACACTTGAGAGTCAATCAGAAGAAGTGAGCAGCAATTCATGATAGGACAGGAAAAGCAAAACACACCTGCAGCTCATAATATTAGTTCACACATTAATGGCTTCTCACTGAATGGAAGTCATCCACTCCTAACAATCCACACTGTCCCTCTAGATCGCTTGATGAATACACAAACAAATGGAAACTTTTTTTTTTTGTCTCTAAAGAAATATCCAATGCAAATGCTGATAGAAAAGTGGCTGTTACAGATATGTTATTTTCTCTTTTTAACCTCTGATCAAAGCAGTTTGCAATTTCACTTGTTTTTGTGTAACTAGTTAAAGTGGTTGTTGTTGTTTTTCCTTCCTCAGAAGCTAATCTCATCGCTTTAAGTGTTAAAACATGACATCTATTTGTGTAAGTTAATGCAGTTTTGTGCAGACTTTGCTCTCGTTAGATCTCATTTGTCATTCAAGCTATGAAAACACAGAAGCTGGAACTGACATTGTGGCATCAACAAAAGACAAACAAACGTGGGTATAAGGTCATTGAAAGTGAGTCTGTATTCACTCTTCACTGGAGGCAGAAAGAGTTGTCTTTCTCAGCTCCTTCGTGGGAGGCAACAGAAACGGCGACAGGCAACAGTAGCTCTCACAGCTGCTGCGAATGCTGCAGTGAGCCGTTCACTGTGGATGAGGGAGCAGAGCGATAACTGGTGGGAGCTCCTAGTGGGAGCTGGAGACCTTCAGTGAATGAGTTTCCATCCTTTGGCTGCCACTTTTCTACCAGACACACAAACTGCACCGCTTGCATTTGTGAGCCACCGTTACCAGATCTGTTGTGTGCTGTTGTGTTGTGCACGGTGCATTGACGTACGTTTCTCTTATCTAGATGCAGAAGAATGAATGTTAAACCCTTAAACCTGTAGCTTTTTTTTCTTTTTTTAATTTCCATCTAAAAAATATCCCCAAACGGCTCCACAACTGTGTGGCCAAAATGAAAAACCGTGGGCTCCACGGAGACGTGACACTTGGGAAGAATTGGAATTACAGTAAGCCTTGGTGTCCCCATCACCACACCAGACCAGAATGAGACTTGGAATTGACATTGTTATTTCTGCCTAATAAAATCTGTAAATTAAAGTTTAAGAATGAGTCATTAAACATTGATGCTATTGACCTTGTTCTGGAAATTCAATGCAGTTCTACCAAATGTAGTGCAACAGGAACAATGTTACTTCCATTTTTTTTTTAATCATAGTGGTACAAAGAGAGCGCTGCCACTTACAGTTTAATAACAGATGAAGCCTTGAACTGTCAGTGGGACCTCCAGGGTGGAAAGGGTTAATGCTGGGTGTAAACAGGATTTTGTACTGTGATCACAAGAGATGGGTATCAATTTGGGGCACAACAAGACATTATTTTCATTATTGATTGCTTTGCAGATTATTTTCTAAATGAAAAGGAGCTCTACAGTGTTGGGAACTCACAAGAGACCGATTACAAAGAATGGTAGTAATTGTAGCCACAGAGGCTTTAGAGTCTTTCATCAGACTGTTTCTATCTGGTGAACGCCCACATCTTTTGAACTCCAGCCCCCATTTTGTAACACGATTTCTGTTTTAATTGAGAGTATTGTTCAAACCTGAGCTACTGTGACCTTGAAGAGGTCATGGTTCTTTTTTTTTTGGAAATGTTGAATGTTTGGTCTGTAAAATGTCAGAAAATAACAGAAAGTGCTCATCATACATCTCTGAAATCCAGTGTCACGTTGTCGTATTGCTTGTTTTGTTTGTCATTTATACCAAAAAAGTATATCAGATTATCTGCAATAATATTTATTTCCTTTCTTAATTTTATTTACTTATTTGTTATTATGTTTGTTTGTCTGTTTTGTTGTTCCCCACTTTGTAAAGCGGCTTTGAGTATTTTGAAAAGCACTATATTATTATTATTACTATTATTGTTGTTGTTGTTGTTGTTATTTAACAAAACAGGAAAATGAGACGTATCACACAATGTATATGATGAAGTTAAATCCATGTTTCTTCTACTGTTGTCCAAGCGTAGACCTATCCTGTACATACAAAGCAAAACAGACAAAACAAATAATGTAATTATATTATATTGTTATATCATAAAGTGCTTTATACTTTAAATTTAAGCTCAGTCTAATTTAATGCAGATGATTGCAAATCGCTTAATACCAAGATGTACAGAGGGCGACGACCCTCTTTCAAACTTTTAAAGAGTTCTTTATAATTCAAGTAAAGACTGAAGAATATTAAAGAACTGATATTGTTTTATCATACCGCATTGGCAATGTAATATGTACGTAAACACGCCAAACATGCAGGATTGTAACGCATTACTTTTTTGATACTTTACAATGAGAAATCTAAAAACTTATCTGACAGAAAACCATCTTGTTGCAGCCACACCTGACCTAAGCTGGCATTTTTTTTGTTTGCTAAAACCAGAAGCGACAGTATATAATGAGAGAAAACCAAATTACAAATCCGACTGTTTGGCTTTCTGTGTGCTTTATTTGCCTGGATGTGCTGTAAATGATTTGTCGAGTCCACTGGGGGTCAGCCGGAGTCACATGAACCCTTGATTGGCTGTTAGTGGCGGGTCAAACCGCCCACATGAAGCATTGCTGCCTAAAGTGATGAGGCGCACATTTGTGAGAGCGCACACATTGCTGACGACCGTGCTAACACTTGTCCTCCTCCCTTGTCCCTGCAGTTTGCTCTCAGTTCTCCCGCGGGGTGTACGCCATCTTCGGATTCTACGACAAGAAGTCCATGAACACCTTGACCTCGTTCTGCGGCGCTCTGCACACCTCCTTTGTCACACCCAGTTACCCCACCGATAATGAGGTGCAGTTTGTCATCCAGATGCGGCCCGCCCTCCGGGGTGCTGTCCTCAGCCTGCTCTCCCACTACAAATGGCAGAAGTTTGTCTACCTCTACGACACAGACCGAGGTAGGTGACAGCGCGAGCCTTGAGTCGGGACACGGGAGCTTGAATTACAGCATGGAACCACGTTACAGTGACTCAGAGTAGCAGACGCACAGCGGGGTTAGCAAAGGATGGATAGACTCCGTAATAGTTCACGAGAGCCGCGGAAATGCTCGAACTGTTAACACTGCACTATTTTATATAGTAGTTGGGAGGTATGTAAATGGGAAATATATTAAACAGCAGCTCGTAACACTTGTAATAACACATTACACTTAAACAAACGGCATGCTCTATGAGCTATAACCTTTGGATTCCTCTAACAGTTGGCTGGTTGGTGTCAGTTAATCTTCTGTTTAATCGTGTTGTTGATATTGGCTCGTCTTTCATCTGAAATGAGGTATGTCACAGCTGCTACTAAAATGTTTTCTACAGAAATCAGAGTCTCTGCCTGCCTGTGGGGGCTGCTTATTGTGCAGCGTCAATGCCGGTTCTGTGTATTTCCCAGATTGCATTGCCTTGTTGACGCCGTGTATATGACAACCTGTCAACACGGCGAAGTGTTCATTTCTGGGATTTCTAATGTCAGATGAGAAAATGAGCTCATTATCTCTCAATAGAATAATGATCCCCTCCTCCTACAGAAACTTCAATTTGTTCAAACAGCACCTGGGCAGGAGGCAAAGGATGTGTTCATGATATGACAGACAAAGCCAAATTATGTCTTCCTCTTTGTGAGGTTGCCAGAAACGGTGGCCACACATTCCTCCTGCACTGCACATCGCAGTTTGCATTTACTTTGTTTACTCGCTCATTATAGAAAGGTCCTGACCTGCAGATATGCTTCAAGCCACCTGTCTTCCCTGCTGCATGCTCTCTGCTTTCTTGTTTGGTTCTTTTTTTTTTTTTTTATGGTCCAGCTTCACACCAACCCCTCTCTCTCTGTATCTTGCTTAGAGGCAGAATATGAAGTGCGCTTTAGCACAGAGTCCTCTGTCTGTGGGTCTCCAGGCCTGTAGGGTCCAGAGCTGAGGGCCTTAATCCTCCACACAGCCTGCAGATAATATGTGGTTAATTAGGGTCACTCTGACTAGGACACTCATTGGATCTTCCCTGCGGATGCTAGCAACCCACACGTCCTTCAGCACAACCAATACCGCTCGGCCCCCATCCTTCTGCTTTTCCACTTCTGTCTGGCAAGTGAGACAGTCTGGGGCAGAGTTGGATACATAGCGGAGGTGGGGAAAATAGCCTGAGATACGAAAACAGAGGAGGTGTTAGAGAAAGAGAGACAGAGTGATGACAAACAGACATCTACTTTCAGGAGAGAAAAGGGGTGACAGAGGGCAAAAGAGGGCGGGAGGACGAGAAGGAGGAGGAAACAAAACACCAATTCAGTGCGGCAATTAAGGCAACAGCAGGCGCATGTGATTTACAGCCTGTTACCTGTGTACAGACAATTCCCAGCGTACAGTGCATCCCCGTGCTGAGGCCCATGCCAAGCCACTTTTGCCTCTCTCCTTACTGCCAGTGGTGTAAGACGATCCCTTATTAGTGGGAGGACATTGGCCCCAGGAGGGGATTAAAGTCGTTTATTGATGCACTCCATCCAGCACTTTGGGGGGCTTTGACACTTGGCTCATCAAGCAGACAGATGTGTCAGAGAGCCTCTACCTCCGCTTATCAGGTAGTGCAGCTCCCCTGGCAATATGGACACTGGCTGCTGGCTAAACCAGGAGGAGTGAGAAGGGAAAAAATAGTCGTCGGGGGTGTACATTTTTTTACCCTCTGGCTCTGTAGCTAAAGGAAATTTGACAGAGAACCGCTTTCATTTGTATTACTCTGAGTTATTGTATCTGTTTCAGTGTTCTCAAACCGGTTTGTCTAACACGGCCCCCCCACAACCCTGTCTGATGAGCTGAACCCCTTCATCAGCATCCCCTACTGGTTTTACAAATCCATTTATTTCGGTTTCAAAGTGGATGCTGAGTAACACTAAATAAAAATGGATAATGCTGAAGTGTTTTTCATACTTTATCCATTACCCCAAGTGTTTTCTGTATTTTATATCTAGATTTAAACTTCAATTTATCCATTAGTTTTAGCAATTAGTTTGATTCACTTCCAAACTAGTTCTCATGCACCGACTTACAGCCTATTCCCGTCAGTGGCAGGTGTCGTGTGCATTTAGCCACATGTAGCTGGTGGCCTACTGCTGAGACTGTGACAACAGCTTTACTATAGGTCAGAAACACACAGATTTTTGATTTTTGAATCGTTATTTTGCAATATATGGTTATATTTTTAAGATTAAATCATGATTTTTGAAATGAATGAAGCTCTGTTGCTTATTCATGATAGCACTGCTTCGGCTATAAAGTCACAATTTGCTCTACAGACAGTCTAATAAAACATAAATACCTACAATACATCATGCACAAACACACTACAAGATCGATATCTCCCACAGTGTCACTATGAATCATTTGAAAAAGAATGGGAGTCGTGGTGACATCCAAGGCTGTGGTTTGTTTAAGCAGCCAATAGCAGATGGGACAAAGGGCAATCTGCATCTATTAATGCTACCTACAGAGAAGCTAAACATCCGCCCTGTTGGAGGCATCTGGAAGTCAACATGTAAAGGATGTTGAGGGTCCAGAACAATCTGTGCCTTTGAGATGACACTGGCTTCATACAGAAGCTGAAGATCATTAAGGCCAGAAATCTTCCAGCACAGCTTGACATTTTTTTCCTCCTATTTGTACGATTCAGACTTCTAAACCAGCAAATCATTATAAAACAAAGAACACATTAGATAAAAGAAGAAGAAAACTTTTTTAATCAGCATCATGTCCACATTAAAGCTCCACAACCTACTTAAAAAGAACAACCACTGATTTGCATTTTGACATATAGCGTTTGTATTTGCAGCAGAATTCATCTCCTCTAACAGGGCAGTGCCCACATACTTATATTGTTGCATTGCTGCCACCAGTTCAGCCTTAATCACACTTTGGTGCAGGGCAGATAAAGAGCCTCCTCTGAAAATCAATAAACATTTCCTTGGTCTTAGAAGCTGTTTTTTTGGGGGGTAAGAGTGATCACTCCAGTTAACAAATTTATCGAAAACTGGGCCAAGAGGTTGTTCCACATCCTATAGAGGGCAGACAGAGTATTGACATACTTAAGGACAAATCTTTATGCCTTATTGCCCTGATATTCATTCTTATATAAAATTAATAGAAATGGTAAAAGCATGCAGCTCTGCGGGGATCCGGTGGGTTCCATTAAAGCCGCACCCTCTGAGATCTGGTTGTTAGGACGTCACTTAGCCAACATACTGTGATAAAATCCATATTAAAATTAGATAAAAAGCCTGTGTGCAAGAACATGTGGCTAAATATAATTGAAATCAGAAGAAAAGTCGATGAAAAGCGAATGTACATGGCGCTCACTTCCCTCCAGTTGTCTGAAAAACAGATCTATAGCAACTGGTGATCTCCAATCGTACGTTTAAATGACGTTCACCTAAGCAAGACGGAAAAAAAATCTAATTTATATGACAACACATAGCGCCTGTTTTTTTTTTTGTTTTCATGCAGGTGGCTGTGACAGATTTGTGATTCTGCAGCAGACAGTGAAATAAACAAATCAGCCCAAATTACAAATGACCCTTCTGCTCATGCTGCTCCCCACATAGCACCTGTTGTAATGTATTATTTTCTTGAGTGCCTTTTTTTTTTTTTTTTGCCTTTTAATTTCTGTTTGATAAAAGCACTGATCATCCACAATACTGGAAGCAACTTCGCAATTATTCTCTAAACTCTCCTATTAGGGAGGAAAAACACAGCTCTGCAGGATGGAAAAAAAAAAAAAAAACATTCACATCGCCGAGTTCTACCAAGAGGTTTTATTCAGTCAATAGAAAAGATTAATTACAGCCACACTATTCATTTGGCTCTGTTATTGGACCGGCAAAAAATGCTTTTAGGCCTCAGTGCAGTGCTTTCAGTCGGAGAGTGATGGTCCATATGCTTCAGGCTCAGATGTATTGGAGGGAAATGGAGGGAAATTTGTACCCTAAATGCCAATATCAGACAGCTGTTTGAAAGCAGACGTTATGATGAAGGAGCTGCACTGGAAGCAAATGGAGCCTCCGTAGGCAGTGTTATACCAGCTTAATGAGTGGCTACTCCTCTTATCTGCAGTAATATATTGACAGCTTACCTTCTGTGTGTGTGTGTGTGCGTTAATACGTGTGGGTAGAGAAAAATGACGGATCCAAACTTTCTTTTAACCTCCAAACATCGCATATGACTAACCAGAAAGTAGCTGATTGCCCCTGCAACATTCCCGTACGCTGCATCATCTCTTTTCCCGATTCTTTTCTCTTCTGCAGTGAACATTTTTGTCTGTTTCAGTTTGCATCAGCACACGAATTTCCCCTTAAAAACTGGAGCTGTATAGGGTGGTAGGGTGAAGGTAGATGGATCTTGCCCTTTCTGTTCTGGCGGTCAGGTATGGGCAGATAATTGCCAGGTCTGTGCAGCAGAGACAGATGATTACAGGCTTTATTGTCTCTCCCAGGCACAATCAACCCTGATTCAGCAATCTCACCTCTGCTTGATTTATGAGTCACTCTTTCTCTCTTTCTCACTTCCCTCCATACCTCTTCTTTACATGCTTTTAGCTTCCTCTTACGTCCCTTCCCTCCCGAGCGTCTATCCTTGAGCTCATTGTTGCAAAGCAGGTGGAACCTTCGCCTCCGCAAATACGGCAAAACGGTCAAGAAGAGATGAAATGGGAAACAAACCGCGTGCGCTGAGGAAATTTGTAGCGCGTTTGACAGTAGAAAACTAATTAGAACTTTCAAGATCCGTTAGCGAGAATGTCAATGCTGCAGTGCCCTTAGTAATTTTTCAAACAACTGCTCCTCGATTTCAATCCGAGGTATACAAAAGCAGATTTCTCATTATTCCTAATGACTATCGATTTTTCCGGCAGTTGTCTCTGGCAACTTTTGT